ATAGGTATTCCGTACCTCATATTATGTGAAATTTGGTTATTTAATTTAATTATGAAATATAACACATTTTTGTAATATTTATGTATTTTTGTTTTAGTTTTTTAAAATCGTTACATCATATATTTCTTAATTTTATTTTTTACAATTTCTTCATTTCGACCCATTTAAATTATGTGCGCTTATGAGGTGCGGAGTACTAAAAGTTATGTCGGTTTTCATTTTTGACTTTTTTATTTACTCTAATACTTAATAATTTTTCATTAAGTTCGAAAAGGTGAATAGATTTTTTTAAAAAAAGCCAAATAAAAACCAAAAAAAAATACGACGCGAATAGTTTAGTACTCGCTAGATTAGAACTCGTGATCGATTTCATTTGAGAACGTGTTGATTTCTTTTAAATTTCTAATTATGCGCTGTTCTGTTAAATTTGTTAACTGTATCAATAACTTGAGCTATTAAAAAAATATTTTATTTCATAAAAAACGTAAGTTAACAATTTTTTTCTTAAATTTTTATTTTTGTTGAAATATATTATGTAAAAATATATTATGTAATTAATATTCTTATTAATAGGAAGCGTTGTACCGAGTTTTATTTACGCGCATTTTAGCTTTGTTTCGAAGAACTCAATCGGAAGTCAACGAATTTTACAGCTAAGGTTGCTTTATTTTTTCTTATTTACTTGTTATAAAAACGTTTTCATGATTACATTTAATTATTATATGCCACACTTGATTATGCATATATACGAATTATGGATATGATTATGATTATGGACATAATGACACACGATAACGGATAACATTTAAACGAATACCTCGAATACTCGTAAGTTATTCATATGCGGTTTATAAATAACGGATTACGGAAATTTTCAACTCGTATGCGGATTTTACGATATCGGGTCAATTTATAATTATGTATTAATTTATTATTTATACGATGTATTATTTGAAGCTAATCGAGATATTTCTTTATTTACATAAAGCACTTATTCGAGGACATTTCTGACGGATACCACGAACCTGTATTAACGAACTACAGAAATTTAAACGGACTCTACGTATGGTTACCTACCTACGGTTTACGGTTCTTAAAAACAAATAATACGAACGAAATCGGATTAATCGTAATTAGCGTTTTACTTTATTATATATTTAAAAATCGAAGTTATTCTACGACATTTGTAACGGATACCACGAACCTATACGTAAATTTAAACGGATACTACGTATAGTTACGCATATACCTACCGTTTACGGATCTTAAAAAAGGATAATACGAACGAAATCGGATTAATTTGTAATTAGCGTTTTACTTTATTAAATCGACGTTATTCTACGACAATTCTAATGGATACCACGAACCTATACAGAACATATACCTACGATTTACGGATATTACAAACGGATACTATGAACAAAATCTGATTAATTTGTAATTAGCGTTTTTCTTTATTAAACCAAAGTTATTCGACGACATTACTAACGGATACCACGAACTTATACGGAAATTTAAACGGATACTACGTATGGTTACGCATATACCTACGGTTTACGGATCTTAAAAACGGATAATACGAACGAAATCTGATTAATTTGTACTTAGCGTTTTACTTTATTGAATTGACGTTATTCTACGACAATTCTAACAGATACCACGAACCTATACAGAAATTTAAACGGATACTACGTATGGTTACGCATATACCTACGATTTACGGATATTACAAACGGCTATTATGAACGAAATCGAATTAATTCGTAATTAGCGCTTTTCTTTATTAAATCGAAGTTATTTGACGACATTTCTATGAGATGTCACGAACCTATAAAACGAACTACGGAAATTTAAACGGATACTACTTATGGTTACGCATATAACTAAGGATATTACAAAAGGATACTACGAACGATATCGGATTAATTCGTAATTCGCGTTTTTCTTGATTAAATCGAATTATTATTTGGAATTTTAGGAAAGTCTAACGAAATAGGAAATTAGAGTACGAGAATATTAGCTATAAGGTCGATCGTAGTTTGAAATACTTTCCTTTGGTCCAGCAAAGGTTTTATTAGTAAATTTAAACTTTTATTTATACTTTTTTTTATTTTATATTCTATTTATACTTTTTTTATTGATGGTTCTTTTTTTAGAAGTATAGTTTAGTTCTCATCACTTTTCACTTTTTATCAGTGCGTTTTAAATAACATTTTCTTTATTATTATCTTTAAGATGTTCGCTGGGACAAAGGACACCTACGATATTTAAAGGAAAAGCATTTATATGATATTAAATACCGCTAGACTTCAGAGATTTATTTTTATATATACGGAAGTTATATTATATTTAAGGGTTGCATCCCGAAGAGATAATGTTAGCATCTAGTAAGCGTTTAGTAAGTTACTTAAATTAATTATATTCTTGCTACTAAATGATTTAGTATTTTATGTTAAGCGATATAATTTAACTATATTTAAATATTCTTCTCGAATATTATATTTTGTTATGATTAGAGTAATTTTTATAACTTGCCTTTCTTTCAATAATTTAATTAAAAACAATAGTTATTTTTTTTAAATTAGTATTCCATTAATAATCATTTAAGATTTTATTTTCCGTGATAAATAGGATTAATATTAGCGTTTATAATTGTAGGATAATTAATATTATTAGTATAAGATCACATATAATCACTTCCGTTAGCGCTAGTTAAAATATATCTTTATTACTCATTCTAGGCTAAGTATATATTCCAGATTTTACGGCAGACGAAATTAACCGCAATAAATAACATCTTTTAATGCATGTTTATTAAGTTACTCGGATATTTAATGCAATGCTTTTTGTCATCCGTGCTCAACACATCGTGCCTTTGCTGACAGAATAAATATTAAGACGAAAGCACACCGACGTCAATACTGTAGTGACTACTCCGTGGTCCGACATCACCATCAACGGCAACATTGACGGGTGGGAGTTGGTACGTCCGACTGCCATTGGAAACTTTGAAAATGCCCAAAACATCGGCAGTGTATCTGACGTTGGTGTGTTTTCAGACTTATTTTGCAATAGCAACAAATGTATGAAAATATTAGTAAATACATGTATATGTCGTTAATTTAGGATAAGAACGCTGTAGCACGACAGTTTAGAGGAGGCTTACTTTTGTTTACCAAAATTATCCACATTCATATTTATCAATCTCTTCATCATCTTTTTTCTTCATATTCTCTTATAAATATAATTAATCTATTAATTAATATTCACCGATTGATTCTTCTATATAGTTTTAAGGATTTCTTTATAATCGTCCGATCTATGCTCATTCTCATCAAACTATATTATAGCCACTGCCATCATGTATCTACTTAGGCTTTTAGATGCGTACCTAATATTTAAACTTAAAAATAAAATGTCTCTATTTTCTCTATAATAATAATTAATAAATAACTTAGCGTATTTTGAATTAATATATTGTGTAGGTATTTCCAATTTTCCCGAAATCAATGAAAGCTACTATTGCTTATTCCCTTTATGATTTAGAGTATAATTATTTAGTTATTCATTTTAGCAACAGGTTTAGGAGTTGGTTTATGTTACTAGGAATAGAAATTAAGTAAGGCAAGGTTGGGTCAAGAACATTTAGTATTTCGGAGTTTAACGGCGTTATAACGTACCGAATGATTTATGAAAATGATTATTGAAAAAAAATCCAAAATATAAGGGAAGGAAAGAAAGACCGTGATATTTAACTTTTTTTGACGTTTATGCTAATTATCTTGTTTACATGACTTGTTATTATTAACTCTGTTTTTGAACGTCAATGCTAACTTTTTTATTTAAAACATAATATATACTTTTTTAATAATATGATAACTTTTTAAGTATGTACATCGTAATTATTTAAAAAGTTAAAATATTATTTAAAAAGTGTATAATATTGGGGATTCTATTCTTTCTGCGTTACTATTCTCTATACTTTCTTCCCCAAGAAAAATAATTTCTTAGGGAGTTAGTACTTAGACAATCAATTTCAGTATCGCAGAATGAAAATCTCCTAAATTTGGTTACTATAATAATATCTAGTCTAGCAAATGCTAATAAACGTAATGTACCTACTATGTGCGAATAGCAGCCCACACTCGTCTCTCATAGTTAAGTAACTATTATTAATATAGTTAAAAAACTAATATTGTACCTATATCTAAAATTATTAATTATAAGGCTGGTTCGAAAATAGTCATTCTAAAATATATAAGTCTATAAAAGTATCTAAAGTATTTTATTTATTATGTATAAGAAAAGAAAATCTTTTTGATTCATTCATGAAAAATTAAATTCCTTTTAATAAGAAAATACCACTGTATCGTATTGTAAACTATTGTATTGCTTATGTGAATGCATTTTGAAGTGAAACATAGTAACAATGATTACATTTAGGGTGTACTTTAAAATGACTTTACATGTGTGTAGATATAATAGACACAGCTGTTCTATCTATGAAGAGTAGCTTAGTCTTAGTATTAACAAATTATTGTGTTTGTTTCAAGACGAGGTCAAGATATTGCAATCTACGCAGAGCAAGCTTTTTCGATACGAAGTTGATTCGAATATATTATGTTTACTTAGAATCGACTCGAATCAGATTTTAGAACAGTTGTGTTCTCACAAATTCAACAGCTAGATATTAATAAGATCTTTGCTACTTCTAGGTATATTCAATACTATTAAAATATACTACTCAAAACAAAATAGAGCCCACTTGGTTTTTCTTGTGCAATTTTAAATTATCTAAATTTACACAGGGGTTTTCTTTAATAGATGCTTAAATTTAGGATTTAACAATGGTGTTATCATCATTAACCGTAAAAGTTTTTTTTTATATAATCACGATATTTATATGCAACATGGCAAAAAAAGCGTTTATTAAAAACTTTAACCAAAATTATTTAAAAAGTTGTTTTTAGATACATGCCATGCCTCTTTAAGCCAGCAAAATGACTGCTCTAATCGCTGTTTCCATGTTCATATTACGGCGAGATCCAGGCAAATTAATCAGAACTAGTACTGAAGTTAAACAAAACAGCCGTACGTGACAAGTGTCTACGCAAAGTTTTCCAACAAGCGTAAGAAAATAAGTGATTATTTTCTTACCTACCCTACCACTTTTCATTCCCTGTGGTACTTTCAAGTACCTCTGCTGTTTTTGTCTATCCACTTAGAAAAACATTAAAGTTGTCACTTTAAACATTAAATAAGAACTCACTAGAAGATACTAGTCTGCTCTATGGTATTTCACTTTAAACTACATTGAATTACCTCAGCAGTTAATTATAAAAAATTAGCATTGCCCGCGGCTCCGCCCGCGTTCAGATGTGCAAAAACCAAATTCTTAGGTTTTACATATTAGTATACTCTTACATTGCAGTTTTTGTATTTTTTCTTAGAAATGAGACAATTTCCCGCGGTAAAAAGTATCCTATATTTGACCCGGATAACCAGCTATCACCATACTAAATTTCATCAACAACCCTCCTGTGGTTTTTCTGTGATGCGGTCACAGACAGACAAAATTTCTAAAAACTATTGATTCGGCCTCCGTATCGATAATAATGTTTATTGCAATAAGATTTTCCAAAAAATATTTAATGTACAGATTCGACTTAGTTACAATTTTATTATATGTATAGATTTTTCAGCTTATATCGAGGTGGGCTGTATTTTGTAGTTGGATTTGTAAGGAACTTTTAAGGTTAACCCCATTTCGTGGGCGTCGCCGAGGTCTTCATAGGTTGCAAGATCTTTTGTTAGCAATAGATGCTCGAGCACATACGACGGCGATAGATGAGTAAAGTTTAAAGCAATTAATGCTGTATTATGCATTATTATTATGAAACATATACCACCGTGGTCTAACTAGTCTTTAAAATAATGTAAGTGAACCTAACTCATGCAATCCGAAGTCTTTCTAAACTGTACTTGCTGTTTTTATTATTAAATAAGCACAATAACATTAGACCATATTATAATAAATATGTTGGAGGAGAGTTATATGTCAGATTTAAATTACTGTTACGTAGTATATTCATTGTAACAAAATTTAATGGTGACGTGTTTGTCTATTTGTATAATTGAAATCGATGTTTTATTCTCATATTATGATATTATTATAACGTAATTTATATGTATTAGTTACCAGTAGATGTGTGGAAATATAATTTATTAAGAATTTTAATCTGTCTTGTCGTCTTAAATGTACCATTCCACATTATTTCATAGCTTTTAAATATGCTGCATTGTTAAAATTAAGGTCTAATGCACATTCCTGTCTATGTTTAATTGTGATCTTCACTTGTTACCTATACCTATGTAACTTTGCCTTCATTTTGACTCCACCGCACAACGCCCTTAGTACAAGATTGCATTGTTTGACTTTAATAACGGACAGTATTATTTGTGCAATTGAAAAGTCTGTTTAAAATGATATGATTTTTTATGGTTTTAACTTAATAAATGTCATTGTACTTACATTTAGATTTATCGTCTTTAAAGTCGGTTCTATTGTCGTAGTTAATTTCTATGTAACTCTTCCCTACGTAGATACGAAATCAAACCCATGAATCTATTGCATTTATAGTAGATTAGAATATATTATTTTAATAAATTTAAATTATTTTAATAAATTTTAAAATATTTTGCCATACATTCTACGCAATCATAACAAAAGTTTAAAATTTATAATTAATATCATATTTCGTGTAAGCTGTGTTATAAAACCTATGTAATCACATATGTAACGGTGAAGGATAGGCTTGAAATTATATATTATGAAATTGAATTAAAAAAACATGTAATAAGAGCTTTGGTATGAAAATAAAATGGAGATAATTTGGACCCGTTACAAATGTGGCGACCATTTATGTTGTGTCACCTGGCTGTTAATAAATCAAATAATAATATCCTTTCTTTTATTCTATCATTGGTTCTCCCAGTCAAAATTAGGTATGATATTTATTTCTGAAAAAATATAATGACTTCAGTATTAGAGCTACAGTATCATTATTACTACAATCTGAAAATTATTGTGGGAAAAGCTCCTTTTTTCAAATTTCAATTTCGTAGTCTTCCCTAGCAGCTGCATAAGGTGGTAAAAACTTGTATCAAAGGAAAACAGACAGCAAGCACCGCATTCTCCTTTATCTTTCGACGTTATAAATTAAAACCTGCAATTTAAACAATTATGGTTGGGTAGTTCATATATTATGTATCTGTAAAAGTTCCGATAGTAGTAAAAAAGTACAAAGCATTAAAACAAATATTCACCTGTAGACGATTTGACTGTTTTAGAATCACTTTCTGAAAAATGGTGTCTATATAGCCTACTTGCTGCGCCAACGGTCGCGGGTTCGAGTCCCGCTGGGGGCATTCATTTGTGTGATGAGCACGAATGTTTGTACTCCAGTTATGGATGTTTATATTTATAATATGTATGTATTTAAAATTATATATGTATGATGTATCAACTATCTGGTATCCATAACTCAAGCCTCGTAGCTCACCATGGAACTAGATGGTGTTGTGTGTTAATGTCCTGACATATTTATTTATTTATTAAATATAAAAATTGTGATTTCGCCAATTTTGATCGTTTTATTGCTTCCGCCCACATTTTTTTTTAGTTTTTTGTCTTTTAGAAACAAATTATATCCATTTTCTTTGCATCCCGACACTGCACAACTTCTCATTTTAATCAAATTTTAAATAAAATGAAAAGGTATTCGTCCACTCTATAGAGCTTTACAATATACTGAGGCATGAGGATCATAGTAATCGCGACATCTGGCGGGAGAAATGGCAAAATTCTTTCCCATTAGGGTATCTTTATGAAGATTAATATGAAAATACGAAATATGAAATACCTATCTATAAAAATATTATTGTCATTTAACAAAATTGTGACATGTGGCATATGTATTTCAATATCACATTTTTCATAATACATATAAATGATTCATATAGGATTTACAATAATTATCTTATATATACTTAATTTTAATTTTATCTTGAGCGATGATTATGAAGCGAAGTTACCATTGAAACACGACGAAATAATAGATCTCGTGCTTGGTGAACAGTCAAACAATTCATATAAAGAACGTACTTTACCTTTAAGGAAGATCTCTAAATATTACACTAGAAGCAATGGTAAAAGTTTTTTTTATTATTATATATCTATTTTACAAGTCAAGTGCAAGCGGGATGGAAGAAGCCTTAAAATCCTATTTTTTCTGTCAATAAAAGCCTGTGGACTGTGTTATCAGTCTCAAAGGGTCCTTAAACCTAAAAAAATAATGAAGTAAATAAAACATATAATAAAGCATATATGAAACATATATTTACTTTGTACTCACATAAGTATAAACCTAAACTTTAAATGTATGGACCTGGACGTTTAATTAATAGCTTAAAAAATCGATTAAATTAAAATAGATAAAATGAATATTTATAATACATAAAGCATAGTAGTACTTAAGTATTATTTTTAAAATATTCTATTTTAGATAAAAATAATGATTTACTCATGAAGCGTAAGTTATGGAGTCGATGGGGCAAATGGGGGGAATGTTCAGTGACATGTGGGGAGGGCACGATATCGCGCCGGCGTCATTGCGTCTCAGGGAGATGCGCTCCCGGGGAGTTTGAAGAGCAAAGAAGGCTCTGTAGCCGTCCACCATGCATGATGTCCTCGGACGTCTTTGATGATCCACACTATTGACGGAATATTACGCAATCACAACAAGAAATGGTACCATGCTTTTGGGTAACTACAGTTTCAAACGTTGCCATTTGAAGTTTTTCATCTTTGCACACTTTAGCCTCACATACTGAGAGAACATAGGGATTCGTTATTTAATTTTTGTATATACGCTCGCGATAAAATTACAAAAAAAAGGTAGGTTTTATACAAACTTATATTCCACGTTTTGCCCCCTTATGGAACTAATTTTGACATATGCTAATACAAGTATTTATTTAATTGTATTGAAGAGCATTAATACCAAGTTTCAAGTAATTCTGATCATAATAATATTTTTTTAGGTTGTATTGTAGCGTGTTTCCCCGTGGGAGAGAGATAATCTCCCGCGGTAAAATTAAGAGCTGTAGTTTAGTTTAATTATCAATAAAAAAAAACAAAAGTGATTATGATCGAGTTTCGGCCACTGTGATTAAAGGGAAACGAATCTGCAGGTTCTGAAAAGGTAAGTAGGTAGTGAAGGTTCGTCTAGCTCACTATGTAGACTGATCGGAATTCGTTTATTTTTAAGATCAAAAATAATATTTAAAACCTGAGGTTTTATATGTTTAAAACGTTAGCAGGTATATAAGGTCAAAAATACGTAAAACTGTTCCGGTGTCCACCTATTCCCGAGAAATCGAGGCATGAAAAACGTTGAAATATAGTTTTTTTCAATTTCCGAAGTAGTGCGACGTCTAACCGAAACATGTTCTCAACAAAAGTTGTAAGTCTAGTAAAAATCTACAACTTTTATAAGATAACACTTTTTAAAATAACCTCAAAGTTTTCGCGATATTTGCAAAAAAAACGTTTTTTAAGTTTTTCTTGATTTTTTATTATTAAATTTTGCAATAATGTTTTGATTTTCATGAAACTAGGAGAATATAATTTTCTAAATATATATAATAACAATATTTTTTTCAATTGAAATCGGGCTAAAAATCACCCCCATCTTCAAGTGGATTAACTTAAGCAAGCTATTTTTTCGTTTTATCCCGCAAAATATATAGGTATAATCAGTTTATAAAAATTTGGCCATTTTTACTCAACCACTAAGAACATTTTTCCATCGGACGTCCCACTAAGCCGGAAATTGGAAAAAACTATATTCAACGTTTTTTATGCCTCCTTTTCCCGGGGGATAGGTGGACATAGGGGGCATTTTACTTATGTTTTGTTCATTATATACCTAACTCTAATGCTAACGTCTTAAGAATATAAAACTTCAGGTTTTAATTTTTTTGTTCTCAAACCGGATTCCGATTGGCTTATTGCGGAAACTATTTTTTTTTATTTTGTTGTTAACTATCCATATACCTATTTGAATTAGGACATTAAGTTTACAATAAGAAAATTCTAAATGGTTTTAAAGTGATCCCTTTATTAAACAGACATATATTTTTAAACTTTAAGTAATTTTATTTCTATTAAATTCCAAATGTTTTTATTCATTTAGCTACATATACATATTTTTTGATACAATTTTTTACCTTATTAGATTTTTATTAGAATTTGTAAATTATTGTATTTTTATGTCTTTATAATTCTATCTAATTTCACTCTTAAAGAGTCACCTTTTTGTTTATATTGATTTTATTATCACAATCAAATTAGATCATCCGTAATCCATATTTACATGTGTTTGTTTATAACTTCTTAAACGATGATGTAGTTAGTGGCTATTGCCTAGAGTAGTAACTAAATTACAGTTGTTTGTACGTCCTAGGACAGGTCACATGAATATGATCGTCGAACTCTGTTTAATATTACGGATTGTTTTGAATGAAAATCAACACTACGTTTTCCAGGGAGGCTCAGTCCATTCTTGCAAAGGTAAACAGCATTTTCACAGAAACGGTTGCTCCTCGGTATAGGTCCATTTGCATATAGTTTTCCTTTCATTAGCTTCTCAGTTGTAAGCTTTGATACATATGAAGTACATTTTAGAGAATGAATTTATATTTAGTTGCCGTCACACTTTTACAATGTGCATCATATGCCCCAGTATTACTAGAATGTGATTGATATAATATTATAGCAGTTTTATTTTTATTGACTTGTGTGTGAATTTGAAATGAAGTTATTGTTATTATTATTTTCAGCAACAAATGATGTGAAAAATATGCATACGCCATCAACTAAAATGTCTTCAAGCGATTACATTTCTACGCCCGACACATGGGAGAGTAATCCCGACTTAAAGTCACTGTGGGTTTATCGGCCGCCTTCCATAGTAATTAATCTATTTTATTTTTATATTGAAATTATTGTAATTATATAATATATTATAAATATTAATATCAATTAGTAAATTGAATTATTTAGGGTACCTAATATATAAATATATTTTTTTATCACGTTTAAATAATATAGGTTATTAATTTCAGCTGCCGCACCAGCCTGATATTGCAGCTTCCCAACACACTGTTCTGAAACCACGCCATTTAATAACAAAACTTGCTAAGCCTCTCTTTTATGGATTTGATCCTTTTTTTGAAAGAGTAATTGTTTTTATTTTGTTTTCCTATCGAATAGTAGGGGAGCCCAAGATGGCATTTTGGGATTTACTCAAGCGTGGCAGACTAACATAAGGATGATTGCACTCTGTTGAGTGCCTCCACTATAAGTATAGATGTAAGTCCTCTGTATAAATTCGCGTCTCTAGAGCAGACTATCAAAATATTTAAAAAGTATTTTGATAAGTTAGTAATATTAGGAACCGTCAAATTAAGGTGTGGTAGGCTAATTACGTGCTGAAGAATGTGCAATTCAATAATCTGCCGTATTCCGGAAGCTGAAAAAACAAGAATCGTCCATAAAGTTTATGCATAGCATATTAATGTATCTGCCGCGCTTGAGTAGGTAAATCCCAAAATCACCTCTTGAACACCCTACTATAATAATTGGAATGTAGATATTATTTTAATCATGATATCTTTGAGTATATTGTTTGAATGAGGGTTTAAGTGTTTGATAGATAGTATTTCAATTACTTAATTATTATGATAGACGATAACAAAATTTTAATTTACAAATTAATTTTAAATTAAAAGAAAGAATAAGGTTTACTTAGGTTACTTTAATTTATATTTTATAACACATTTTATATTTCCAGAGAGCTTTTGAGCCATTTGAAAGACGACAAAAACCTGTTTCACTAGTTGCTTTTAGAAAAAATGGGATAGAGCCTCGCCAAACGGTAAGAAAAATCGGTGGTATTTTATTTAATTAATCTATGATAAGCCTCTGAATCTTGCATATTGACCAGTATTATTGATTAAATAAATATCGTCTAATTTCCTTTGCTTTTAAGCAACATAAAAGTTAAATAGAGTTAAAATTTAATAATAAAAGAGCGTTTTATTTTCTAAGCAAACTATTTCTCGATAACCTCGTCAGAATAAATCTTTTAGTAGTAACTCTTAAATAAAACTATCTCTTCGGATTTTTTCGCGGATTTTTTTTTACTTTTGGTTCCCTACGTTTTGAATGCCATACAGCACGGGAGAGACTAATTTTTTAGACGTCTCAAAGGTCATAATCTTGTTACAGACAGTGCCTATCCACAATTTTACAAAATGATTTCAAAAATTCAAAAATGGCGCCAAAGTACCAAATAAATTTATCACATTTCTTTGTCATGCCCTCTTTTAGATTGACCAGAAATTAGGTGTTAAAACATGACTGCTCTACATTCCTGTCCAAACCCGTATTTAAAACTCAACAGTACGCATAGATGGCGATAGTAGTTCAAATAAAATCTGATATGAACAATTACTGAGTAAAAAGCAAGAAGGACTTTATATAATCGATATTTTAATACAAATTCTATGTTTGGCCTTCTTCGATAGAAGAAAGAACGTAAAGTTAAAATTAAGGATAGTAGTCATTAAAGAAGTCTAAAGAGTGTGAAAATCTTCGAATATAAACTGTTTATCGACTAAGTATCCTTATTTGTAAAGATAAAAAAGTTTTTCTAAAATTAAGGAAAAATGAAATATTTTATGTCGGTAATCTACATATTTTTGCTTTCATAAATTGTTCTTAATAGTTTGAATAAAGTTGTTAAGAGGAAAAAATTGAAAAAGCTCGGAAAATGAAAAATTCTATAAAATGTTAATAGGATTTTTGTCGAATAAACCCAAACACCACAAAGTGGAATTTTGAACAGAACAACGTTTCTCGAGTCACATGACATGAAAGACTTAACTTCGGAAGATTTGCAGACCTTTGCACATTTGTTCAGAATTAAATTTATTAAAATTCTTTAGTTATCAAATATTATATATAATTTTGCCTCTCCGCAGTCGCATATAAATGTATCTACCTACCTTATAATCTAATATATAAAATTCTCGTGTCACACTGCTGTTACAAAACTCCTCCAAAACGGCTTGACTGATTCTTATGACATTTTGTGTGTATAATCAGTAGATCTGAGAATAGGACCAAACTATTTTTCATACCCCTGAGTGATAAAGGTGGTCGACCCCAAAAATTTTTTTTTTATTTTCTACATAAAAAAATTTAATATTTTTATGATTCGGCATTAAAAATACATACAAACCTACATTTTCACAAGGGACGAACCCGAGCGGAGCGAGGATGAGTCGCTAGTGTCTATCTATACGTATTTAATATAAAATTTAAAATAATAAAAAAAAATATATAAAATTCTAACTGAGTAAAATCTGTGCATTAAATATTCTTTGGAAAATCTTATTGAATTAGTCAATATTATCAATACCGAGACCGAATGTATAGTTTTTAGAATTTTTGTCTGTCTGCCTGGGAACGCATCACGAGAACACCACTGGACAGATTTTGATGAAATTTGGTATGATGATAGCTGGTTATCCGGGTCAACATTTAGGATACTTTTTACTGCGGGAAAAAATCTCAATATCTGAGAAATCCATATTAAACGTTAACTAGGGACGAACCCGAGGACGAAACGTAATGAGGATGAGTCGCTAGTATATTTATAATTTTGTGCTAGATTTAATACCAAACATATCTTAATATCTTATATCTTTAAACGAGCAATTCTTGTATATATATATATATATATATATATATATAAAATGTAGTAATTTAATATACTTACATAGTTCATTAGTAGTTGTAATATATAACTATATTTAAAATCCAACTTTTCAGTTGGGACTTAAGTGAATCGAGGGTGAGTCGCTGGTAACCAATACCACTGTAACAATATTTACATTTTTAGATAAATGTCCAGAATAAAGAATCAGCTGAAGTGGCTGAAATACAGTCGTCCTTCAACGACATTGGCAGTTTCTGGCATGATTTACCTGGAGTTCGTTAAAACACGTGCAGTGTTTATACTGTCTGAAGAAAATATGTCAGTTTTAAATAATGTAATATATTGTTTTTAATATTTCCTTGTTTTTAATTATTATGATTATAACATATAGCTTAAATCGTACTGTCACTGTCTTTCGTTTCTTTATTGCTTAAACATAATTCGTAGATAGAAGTTGTTTATTCGAATTATTTTTAGATTAAGTTTCCTTACAAAGAAACAAATGTAACGAATAAATTTGGCCCAAAATGTTGTGAATTACCTAATGCCTCATTGGTGACATGTAATTGTAATTATAAAAAATAATTTTAATAAATTAGTAGGTTACCACTTGTCTTACGGTGAAGAAACACATCGTAAGAAAATCTGCATGTTTAAGAGAACCTAGTGAGTTTTCGAAAGACATGTGAAGTTCACAAACTTGCACTTGGTTAGCGTGGTGGACTATGGCTTGATCTCCCTCGTATTGAAGAGAGGCCCGTGCCCAGTAGTTGGACGATAGAAAGGGTTGAATAGAAATTAATAGTCAATATTTCGACTTAGTGTTATAATGTTTTTTAACTTCGACCCTTATGTCTGACTTACACTGCATCCAAAATTTGCCAAAACACGTAAAGGTGATTTACCAAAAAAGAAAAATATTTGGGTGCTTTGACATTTGTTTATTTCTCTTTCACAAATGATTTATTATGTGAATATCATGTGAATATAAACAAATGAAATCATTATTTCGACATCATTTTGTAGACAGGAAATCGAAGATACTCAAAACAAAAGTCGCCTTCCGTTCTTAGACGATTCTTGGCATGGCAGTGGCTATCCTTGTACTTTCTCAATTGAACTTAGAATATTGTAAAAAGTATTATGAAATATAAAGAATTTTATTGAGATAACATATTTTTTTTAATAGATAAAACTTACTAACTTCAAGGCACTTAAAATTAAGAAATAACTAAATTGGGCTTTTGATTTATTAGGTTAGTAAAATAAATTATTTATTAATTTATTTTACTAACCTAATTAGAATTAGGGTAATAAAATAAAAAAAATTGGAATTGCTGTCAGAAACGCGAAGCAAACAAGAACTTAGACTAAATATTATTACGTATTTTACGTAGGAGGAAATAAAATATAGTTATTTATCTTCCGGAAATATCAAACCAATAATTTAAAGATGGGAATTAATTTTATAAAAGAGAAATATATAAGACATACATACGTAGCCGACAAATGTAGAACCCATAGTTTCCGTCTTTGGTTCCACGCCAATGACTTCATTTTCCACAGGTAACAGTTACTTCTATATAAATAACACAATACAATAAAATTACATGAAGAAAATGTATCGTGTCATGATCATTTTTTATTAACTTCTAAATTGAGAGACGGAAAATAGGGATGGCTTTATAATGTAATTATGTCCTTTAGACTATTTCGGTCACGACGCGGCCAATCTCACTAAGGTTAGCCATTAGTGCGGGGCATATTATAATGCATATATTCCAAAACAAATGTTGCTGAGGATATCAGAGAATAAGTGTGTGTTATTACGAATACGTAGGTAATTTCAGTATCTGATTTCTACGCTTCCCACATGTTTTATATCAAATGTCGGTTAATAATGGAATGATTTTAAAATAATATATAACTATATTATTGATCAATTGAACGACGTCAACTTAAAAGACAAACACTAATATTTCTTGTCAAAAATATGAGTAATAATTTTTAAAAGCTTACTTACAGCTTACTAATACGGATATACGTTATGAGAACTTAATATAATATTGCTATATTCAAATATTATATAGTTATTTGTTGAAAAGACAATTATGATTAGTAGAAAAAATCCTTTATAGTGGCATTTATGTCAAAAAGCTTCACATATGAATTTATTCAAATTAATCTTTTCGCTCTATAATAAAAGTATATTATTGTTTAGATTATTATTTGGTCAATACCAAATAATAAAATTTCAATAAATCAGTTATGAAAACTATTAGTGCTGCTACAGTAATTATCGAGATATTTTTTCAAAGCAAAATTTTGAAAGGATAACTGTATCAAACTTTAGGTAGGTATGTGTAAGTATCGTATTATTAAAAAAAAGAGTAGAGTATTTGTAAGACATACGGTGATGAAATTCGTTTTAAGCTATAGAATATTCTTATATTATGCTCTTTATAATTGTGAATGTATTGTCCTTTACATCAAAAATTCTACTGTCAGCTTTCATGCTGATTTCGAGCCACCTGCGCACACACGTGTCTTAACAATATAGCTATTAACTGGTCTGAATTTTTAATGATACTGAACTGCTCATATTATTGCACGATATGTTTCAGTATGTCTCTATTTACGCGACGCATTAGTCGCACAGTGTCGGTTTCTTGAATAAAAAAATAGAATTACCGAGAACATTACGTGGGGAGAGGCTGGAGCAATTTACTCTCATTAATATGATCAAATTCAATGTAACTTCAATGTAACGTAAAGATTTCATGAACCTGATGACTGTGCTGCCCAGACCTGCTGTCTCAGCGACAAATCCATCATCTTCCAGTGACATAAAGGTAACGACTAAAAAGTTAAGCCAAGTCTACCTTTATATGATTTAAATTGTTTTGTTGTTTTCTAGAAAAATAGTATGAAGTTTTGGTGATGTAAATATCTAATAGGTAAATAGGTGATAGTACTTTCCTCTAGTTTCATTTTATGGTAAAAAGCAAAAAATCTGCCTATTAATTTAAAGTAACTTTATTAATTACCAGCGACTTACCTTCGCTTCGCTTGGATGGGTCTCTAGGTGCGTTTATAATATAAATGGATAAAAATAGTTATTGTGAATATACCTTAGGAGTTAGACCTACAATTTTCAAGTACGTTGTTTTGTGTATATCTTAGGGCTCAGCCACCGTTAGGCAAGCGTACGAAAACCGTATTTTTTAACAAAAAACCACCATAGTACAGTCTCTTGTACAAAATATATATGTATACACAAACAAATTATATACACAAAAATTCCTCGCTTATCGCTCTTTCTAATAATGAAACCGTATTATAATACGCTGCGTTGCTTAGAAGAAGTAAGTCGAGAAACAAGCTGTGGCACACAGCGACTTTGTTTTATACCTACTATATCACAAATTATATGTAGGTACTCGTAGCACAGATCGTATAATACTATACTAGTACCCTTAGATAGATGAGCGACGTACGACGACGAACTAATTTTTCGTTTTCCCATTAAAACAAGAGATTTCACCCTAGTAAATTGTTAAATATGTTAATTTTTAACCTTACTCTATCTATAACTTCGAACCTCATAAATCATTGAAATTTTTGTAGCGATATTTATTAAAAAGAGATTTTCTTGTAGTAAAAGGAATACCAAATATATTCGTGTCATATATATATATATATATATATATATATATATATATATATATATATATATATATATATATATATATATATATATATATGTAGTACGACACAAGTAATAACTTATCTCTACACTACACAAAATATAAAATCGGTATAGTGCTTTTTGCGTGAAATGCACACAAATATAGACAAACCGACAAAAACTTCAACAACTATTGTTTTGTATTATATTTCGTTCACAATACGTAACAGTCATTGTTTTTTAAAAAAAATATTTCTTGTACAGATTTTGCTTTGTTACTATTTTATTATATCACTTGCAGAACCCCGCGACTTCACCCGCGATCAGACTACGAAAAAAAATACTTTTTCGCAAAACATACTTTATTGTTTGCAAAAATAAGTTCGTGAAAGTTTTATTATTTTTTAAAGATAAGATCGTAACTCAAAATATCCAGTATCTTAAAAGATGTTAAACGTAAATAAATGTTTATTTTAGGTATTTAACATGCTCCACTACCTATATTTTTTGCACATTTTTCTACTCCATCTTTCCAAAGTTAGAGCAAGAGAGTACTATGATATATGCAATTGCATATAATGTGTACGAATTTAGAATCATGTAACTTGCCTAATATGCGTTTTTAACATACTAACATCTACGTTATTTAAAGACCCAATGTACACTTGAAGCTTACAGTCTCCCACCTTCTTCTTTTTTAAGTGCCATTCTTATTTTGCTACAACTTTTGCCCGCGGCTATGCTCGCGTGGACTAAAAAGATTGCTGAGTTTTAGTTTCCATTGAATTTATATGTTCTCATATTGAATTTTTAATATTATGTCTAGAGTAGAACTCTAGTTTCACCTAATTTAGTCTACGCAAAAAAAGCCAGCCACAGATATATCACATTGGTGGAAGTTCTGTCTTGTTCTGAGTTTTGCTAAAATGTACCTATGAGAAGCAATCCTCTCTTAATAAAAAAATATAATAATTTATAATTTTTAAATTGAAATTTATATACTTAATAATTAATGAGTAAATTATTTTTTTCCATATATAGATTCCTCCTAAAATTTCCTAAATTTTACGATAAAAAAAAACAGTTTTACCTGGTATATTTCGGCAGATGTGAATTTATACAAGTATACTATTCTTTTTCAAATCCTACGCCGTTGTATTGAGTCTCTAAAATTAAAGATTAGATTTTTTTAAGCAATTTAAAAAAAATCTAATTCGCTTATTTTTCAACTAACTACGATTTTTAAAAATTTACCTTAAAACCTCCCTAACTCGCTTAATTTTGATGGGAGAAAAAAAGTCATGAAACCTTTCATGTAAAATTTTAAGCTCTACATATTTCATATAGCTCTACATATTATATTACAACTTTTTGTCTAATTTTTACCGTTTTTAAGTAATTGCAAAAAAAACACTTTTGACAAAAAAAATCTACCCTTGCCGGGGATTGCAGACACGAAAACCTTTACACATTGTTTTTGTATCATTAAAACTACATTATATCAAAAAATTCAAACTTGAGTGCCAACATTTTGATTTCAGACCTTATTTGACTGGACTATGATATGCCATATCTACTCGTATATTGTTTT